CATATTTTAACATTAAGGTAACATATATTAAACGGTTTATTAATTATAAGGGAGATATATTGTAAAATAATGTTAACATCCAGGTACAAACATGTATAAACATGGTAAGAGTATGTTATTTAATAAATAATTTAATTCCATTTGTTTCCATTTAATACCATTTGTTTTCAAAATATATTTTTATTTTTTCCCTATTAAAATGGTTAAAGTTTTTTATAATAGTTTAGAAATCGAAAACATAGAAGATAAAATTACTATTAAAACATTAAGAAACAAAACATATAATTTTTCCACAAAAGAAGGAAAATATTCTTATACATTTCCAACATTATTTCTCCAAAAATATAAAACAATATATTATAATTATCTAAATTAGGAATTTATAGAAATGTTATTAACAAGTGAATTATTTATTTAAATATTATATAATCTAGCTTTATGTTTAAATGGCGTAGTTTTATAAAAACCAGAGATAACATTAAAAGCAATTTTATTTTTAACTTTATCTTCTACAATTTGTTTTAACCAATAAGATATAGAATAATTATTTACTTCTTTAGTAACTCCATCTTTAGATGTTATTTTTGCTTTAATAATTCCACTATTCTTTGAAATTTTATAACCAACTATATTAATATTATCTCCTTCGTTAACTTCTTCGTCCAATTTCTTAGAATCTTTTAATGTTAGATAAGGTAATTCTTCTAATATTAAACTATTAAGTGTTTCTTGTATTTGTTCTGTTTTATTAGTTTTAGCTTCTACTATTTCTACTTTTGCACATTTATTTTTAGAAGTAGATGTAAATGTACCAGTTTTACATATTGTTATTATTGGATTTCCACTAATAGAACCTCTCGCTATAATTCCGTAAATATCTAATTTCTTATAATAGTTTTGTCCTCTGTTTAAATATGTTGTTAAATTAGTAGTAGACCAATATAGGAATAATTTTGTTTCTTCTGTTATTATAGAATCTTTAGAACAAGCCAATAAAAGAGTATCTCCAAACCTACTTTTCTTTTCTTTAAATCCATAAACATATAAAGTAGTATTATCTTGTAAATCTATAAATTTCTTACTATAAGCTTTACAATTTTTAAGAATTCCATATAATTTATTTCTACACATTTCCATATATTTACTTTGTTCTATCTCTTCTTCTATTTGTTTATTTTTAGCTTGTAGTTCTTCCATCTTTTCTTTATTAACAAGATTAAATGCTTCAACTAATTCCAATTCTTTAATTTCTTTATTAATTGTTCTTATAGTTAAATTATCTCCTGGATATTTTAATAATTCTATATAAAATTCTTTAAACACTGTAGTATAATTAGTTGTTTTAATTAGAAATATGGTTTTCTTGGATAATTTAAAATTAAACGTTTTATTTTGTATTAATCCAACATCTTGTGGTTGTTTACTAAAAGCATCGTCTTTATAAGTAGCTGTATGTAATTTATCGGAACCAGATGTTACATATGTTTCTAAATCTTTATTATTTGTGGTTACTCTAATATAACTATCTTGTTGTATACTAACTTCTTTATTATCTTTATCTATACTAACTAATATTACAATTATAGGTTTATTACTACAATAATATTTAAGTGTATTAGATAATTTAACATTATTACAATCTTTAATATAAAACCCGTTAACTTTTCCAGTAAGTCTATTTTGGAATAAAGAAACAAAGGCCAACTTGGTTTCTACATCTAATATACAAATATTATAAAGAATATGTTTACATAATAGGTTAAATTGTGTTTCTATAGAATTATAATAAATAAGCGAAGGATCCATTTGTTTTCTTAAGAATTCCATCTGTTCTTCTACAAATTCTCTATTTAACTCCTTATCTGTATTATATCTATAGAATGTCATCTCCAAACGTAATAATCCAGTATCTAAAGAAGAATTAATTGCTTTATTTAATATTAGTTCTGGATTGTTAATCCAATCGTTAATATGGGATCCAATTTTATTTCTAACACTTGGAGATTCCATAGATTGTACAAACTTATTATAAAACTTATATCGAATAGTTCCATTAGATCCTTTGGATACAGAGTCTGCGATATCTGTTGTTCTAATAAATGTTAAACAATTTTTAGAAACAGTATTACTATTATTTAATATCGTAGCTGTGTACATATCCGGAGAAGATAATTTTTTTTGTTCTCTAAAACCAACACTTAATAAATGTTCTATAACATCGTCTTTATTAAATACACCTTTAAAATCTTTTGTAAAATCTATATCGTGTATAAATACATTGTTATCGTTTAAGAATTAAAATTTATCTTTATCTTCTAACATATTAAAAACATCTTCTACACTAGAACAACTTAAATTTATTTTAAGTATTTGTATAAAAGTAGAAGGTTGGTGTAACATTTCTTTAGATCGCTTAATACATAATGGTTTAATATCTGCTTTATTTATGTTTATTCCTACTGTGTTAAATACCATTTTAATATTAGCTGTAATAGAAGCTAAAATATTTTTAGATATATCTCTAAGTTCTTTCGGAACAGCTTTACTTTCTTGTTCTTCTTCTTCGTTATCTATTTTATCGGAAGATTCGAAATTAGTTTTAGATAATTTCTCCATATCTGCAATTAATTTATCTGGAATTGGAGAATATACAACAATATTATCCGAAAATAATGTGTTTAATGGTTCCAACTCTTTATCCAAACATGCTCCTTCTTCTGTATAATTTACATTACTAATATTAGATTCGTTAACAATTTTGTTAAGATTATATAGTATTGTTTCTATTTTAACTTTATTGTTGCCAATGGTTTTTAAATTAAAAATAACATCGTCTCTAGTTTTGTTAAAATTAATTTCTTTAATTAAAACGTTAGATAATTCTTCGTGTTTTAAATCTTGTGTTGTAACTGGTTGCATTTCTAATAAAGAAAAAAATTAAAATTTAGACTACCAATTTGATACCGGTCTGCTACCGTGAGGAGCGAAGCTCTGTACCATTTTGCTACGTCGAATTTTTACAAACATTAAATACAAAAATAGGTTTAACTAAGAATATAATATCGATTTCGATAAAGTAGCGAGGAGGTAGTTCGCAAATAGTAGTTTAAGCTCCCTATTGAGTTCCTCCCACATTTGGTAAAACTTTATTTAAAATACCGTTTGGAAAATTAAATCCTTCTATTTCAGATAAATATTTGACTCCATAAGGAATCTCGATAATTGTTTTTTTAGAGTTGCAACTTTGGTTTGCATTTTTATAAAAT